ACGAAGCCTTACAACTTCAAGATGGCGTTAATGTTACCAGCTCCCTGATGTTACACCGTCATAAGGCAGCCAACACCAACGTGCATGTGTTTTGTAACCCCTTTCATCCCCTCCGGGGGATGTTATATATGTTAATTTATCAATGTTAAATACTTGCTGATCACCGAACCATGCGGCATGTCGTCGGTAAATACTTGTTTGCCGTAGTTCGCGAGCAGTCGGCGAAATAACCATTTAAAACTGAACATTTCTATAAGGCATGCTGTGTACCCTTACATCGATCGACCATTGAGATTCGTGCTTTTCGACCAACCAACCAATGGGAATCGTGCTCTTCGCAGAGTTACACTGCGATCCTGTCGCAGAGTGCAATAATCGACATTCGGCGAGTCGCACAAACACGTCGCAGAGTTAGTTTTTAGACCCCCATACATACCTCGCCAGTAGACAACCCTGCACATAAACAAATAGTGATCATAAGAATGTAAACAATGAAAGCAAATAAACCAGCTGTCAGTGGTGTTTTGTTTACACTTATAAAAAGTGCATTTTCTTTGTTAGTTTTTGTGGTAGCAAAATAAAGATGACATTGTTTAAAAGTAGAGATTATGGGCTACATGTACATATAAAATTTATGAGGATAGGGTTCAAATTAGGTAGGTCAAAGTTCACAACAAAATAAGACTCTCAACAACTAGTTTCAGCTGCAAATTTAACAAGGCACAATTTTGGTCTGTATAAAACAGTACCAAAGCAAATTCAGAAAGTGCAGATTAAGAGGAAGTAGTACAGAGTTTCATCATCAGTTCATTTTTTTCTTGAGAACAATGATTGCTAAGTCAGAAATGGCATACCGAAATGAGTAGTTTTTGAGGAGCAGTGTGTGAATTTTACTATTGCTGACAAATCATTTAAGAATGCACAATTAATGAGGTAAATTTTCCTTATTTATCTAAAAGAATCACCCACCACAAAAGACTACCCATGGCTTTGATATCGGTAAGCTCAGCAAGAGTGTCACTATTTGTGTGGTTCACTTGACAATTTTTGTGTATGTTTTACCAATTTAGAGCATTTACATTTAATAAATCTTTTTTTTCAAACACCACAAATGACAAATTAAATATCAGGGGTTTTTCTAGAAAACATAAACAAGAGGGAGCACACACAGGCGATCAACCTGGAAACGCCATATTGGAAAGATTCTGCGTGGTTTTAACATTGTATTTATCAGCATTGAAATATTGGAGTAATTTTAATGTATTTGGTGTCCAGACACATTGTCAGCTGGTGTTGCTGGGAAGTTTTCATGGAGAAAAATATATTTGAGAAAGATTTCATCTTGTATGGAAACACAGAAGTGCGTGGCTCAAGAAATATATTTATGACTTGAAAATTCAATCATCAATTCAGTAAGAGGGCGCCAGCCAAGAGTATCAGGGCGCTGCGCCCCTGTTCCCCAGTTTAAAAAAACCCTGATATTATTGGGTGTGCAAATTTGTACGATATAAAGTGTAGATCTAACAGTGATTGGAATGTGACAATGTAAAAATGCTAAAACATTGTTCTAGGCAATCTTTATAATAAATACAGAATACCTAAACAGCAGCCTACATTTATTTTGGAGGTGGGTTACAGACCATTGTTTTTTTTTGTCTCCCTATTTAGAGACGATTTCCAGTGTAGAGAAAGTGCTTTGCTGACTGTGTACTATGATGGTTTGTATTTGTTTGTTTATTAGTATTGTGGATGTAGTTAACTTTTAAATAGTGTTATGGCCTCTGGTCTCCTTTTCCTTTACACTATTTCTTTCATAAAATGAATTTCACTTGGCTAAATTACTAATTCCGTAACTGTTGCATCATTGGTGCATCAGAATATATATATATCTAGTTGTGACATGAAAACTCTCAGTATGTCAGAGATCCATTATTTAACCTTAAGAGATCACATTGGTTGTTAATCAATACTCACTTCTAGTCTCGCCGTAACCGTGGATGACACTTCCCTTGTAGCGTTTTCTCTTTCCTCCAATAATGTTCTATTTGTCTTCTCATATTCCACAACCTCGCGTCTCAGCCGAGAAATCTCAAGATCTTTTTCTCCCACGCATATTTTCAACATGGCAATTTGGTCTTGCAACTCTCCATCCTGGCCATTCTAAAAACAAAAATATGAAATTATATTAACTGGTAGTAACAATTTGTATATTATTGGGGTTACGAATTCTTCAGTATTCGTTCTAAAACCTATCAGCACTAATATTGACACGTTCCAGGATATTGACATCACATTGAAATTAGACTCCTGTCACTCATGAGAAAGTCTATAATCTCTCAATAAATTATTACTGCAAGAACAAAAAAATGTGTAATAAAGACGTTATCACAAGAATAACACTCAGGCAGGTAGTACAGGTCACATCGACCTCTGCTATGCCTTCATTTATACTAATCCTTGTAGCCTCATAGTTTTGTTTTAACAGTCATTGTATTTTTGTAGATGATTTATTATGAGGATACCTTAAAGTATGCATGAAAACAATACAGCGGGAGTAACCACCAACATGCAGCTAAGGTCGATGCAATGGCGTACTGTCTGGGTGCAAACTTTGAGATATCCTCGTAATAACCTTATTATTATACATGTACATCCTTTCCTTCCAAGGATACATCATGAAGAATGCCGAAATCAAAAAGTTTAGAACAGAATCAGCAAACTTCTTTGTGCGAGTCCGGTCAAACCCTGGTGCCAGTCATGTTTTTATTATAAGAGAATGCTTACGTGCGTAATCATTGCATATTTGGAATTCGCATTTCCTAATATGGTAGGATGAAAATACCACGTAAAATACCGCAAAATTACGGCACGCTATAACTTATGGCGTTACGGTGACAGATGTATAATAATATATATTAATAAAATGTAAAATCCATATTCTACTTGTTACATTTGAGCACCAAAGACAAAAGCATATCCATTTTTTTTCAGATTTTGTAAAACAAAAATGATCAAGATAGAAAATAATTTAACATTTATAGAAAAATACATAAAAATACCCTGTAGGTAATGAATTTTGATGGGAATAAAAATGATGCCCAAAAGGGTTAAATATCACATGCTATATAGATTGTATATCATACAAGAAGCACATTTGAAATAAAACCAACATCATTGTCTGAAAAAAATTGAAAAATCAATCATCAGAGAGAAAAAAAAATAGTAATATATCTTTCGATTACTTAAAATTATTGTTAAAAATGTGACAATGTTTAAATTCTAGGTCAAATGATGTCATAACCCTAAATGGACAGGGATTCCTGTTTTCAGAAAAAATACTAAATCTGTCAAATGTAATCCAAACACTGAAAGATAAATATCACTATCATCAACTCATTAAGCACAGATTTATTTGCATAGGAACAGGAGTTTTTGATTTTGAATGAATCCGTATTACATTAATAATGTTGGTTTCATGATTTCAGTTCAACTGTCATATTGTTGAATCAGTGAAATCATATTACACCAGTATTTGTGAAAGTTAAAATCTACCAATCAGATTTCAGCACAACTAGAACATTTTACTAATACTGTACTGATTAGTAAATTAATTTGCAAACCTTACACAGTGATAACTGTATCGTCCGTTTCTGTGCCTTGGAAGGTTACCGTATTCCATAATACTGATTATGGATGAATGAATGAACCCGGCTGCTTTTTGTTGAATAAAGGTGAATGTTTGTTGGTTGGGTGTTTCTTTTCATTCACACAGAAAACGTAATGAAAAGTTTTTTTTTACAAAATTCTCTTCAGCTAAATGTAGGCTAATTTTATGTAAACACATGCTAATTTTAAGTAAATATATGCTAATTTTAGGTAAAAATGAAAATAATTCAAAATAATGCAGACATATAAATACAGTTACAAAGGTTTTTCAACTAAGAGATTGTAATAATTTTTTGGCTCACTGATTGTCTCATAGTTTGCGTGGTCATAATTATTCCAGTCTGAAGCATATAAATCAATAATTTATTTAAAAAAAAACTATTTTAGTACTGTTAGGAATAAGACATGTTAATGTTCTTTGTGAAATACTACATTTGAAGTGACTATTCCAAGGCTGTGTGTCTTTCAAGTTCAAATTCAAAGGAGTAAACTAACCCCATTCATACACAAACAACACACCACTATCCCTTATATTTTTAAATACAATGTACCCAACCTTCAGCCAAAAATCTAACTTTTTTAATTTTTGATTCCATGCCCCTGTTAAAAAAAATGGTGATACAGACTTGTGTGCTTCTATCAGAGGAATTGAAGAATATGTGATAAAATACAGTATATATATAAACTGGCCTCCACAGAATATCTGGCTACTATGGAATCCAGTGTCCTCACCAGAGCTTAATAAAGAGTTTTAGCTGCACTAAACAATAGAATTAAATTACCATAACAATGAACACAATAGAGGTGATTACAATTTGGAATTGTTATGCAAATCTTCGTGGAGAACACTGCAAATCAAATTTAATTAAAATAATAATTAAAAATGATGCATCACAAGAATAAATTCCAGCCTTATTAACTCTCAATAATGGCAATTACAAAAAAGTTTGCATGTTCTAAATTCACTTTAATTTGTTCTTAAGATAGGGAGTCAGTCACAGTATGACGCACTATGTTAGGAACCAAAGTTAAATTTCACTGCTATATTAAAATACCCTGTCTTGAGGATGACTCATTTACTGACTGTATTATTATATTATTATTAATTCATTTATGTTGTTAGCTATGATATTCATTGCTAGATGCATCTAATTGTATGAACAGATTGAATTTTAGAATATTAACACTGATATTACCAGTTGAGGAGAGTCTTGGTATTGAATTTTAAAGAATTGCTTAGAAGCGAAGTATTGATGATTTTTGGTTGAATTACATGAAGGTGACGAAAAGCTGATTACTTTGATTTGCTTAGAGGGAACATACTGAATATAAAGTAAACCTGTTATATTCATTCATTGATTTAACATTTTTCATTTTTCCTGATTTTATTAAAATCATACAGTGATATAGCGATCAAAACATCTTATTTTAACGGTTTAAGGAATTTGTAATTTGGTAAAATGAAAAATAGGGGAAATCAGGGTTTTTTGCTTAAAATCACTTATACAGTCACAAACAAATACCCAGCTGTCAACAAGTTTACTCATCTCGATTTTTGAGGGATTCCATTTGAATTCAGAATTACTACAAAGTTGAACCTGTCAGAGTGCATCTTGATTACAAAGTTTTCAAATTCGGAAAAGCAATTATATTTGTTCTTGTCCACTGTACCATAGCAACACAAAACTCAATGAACTCTCACAGGTGGTATTAAGTTAAGTTTGGTGAAACTTGCAGTGACATGTTCTCCACTTTTCAGGTAAAAACAAAATTTTTCAAACCTGCTAATTAGACATTCGACACCTCTTTCTCTGTGTTATTATTGGAAAGCTGTACATACTTTGTGGGTAGTTGAAAACAATTTACTGTACATAGTTATAATTTCAGTGAAAATCAAGAAAATGTTTTGGCAGTAGAAATTGTTATTAGGGCAATATGTCATCAATTTTTACCATAATTTGGTTATCATGAATGGTTTATAATCATGAAAATTCCTTAGCATCAACAATTAGAAAATGATATTACGATATACATTGTAGTCAAAACATAGAATTTGATAGATTAAAATTAATTGAAGAGTAACCATGACACTTGAATCATTTTAGTCATCGAAACTAAAGTAAAAAAAAATTAGTTTCTGTTTTTAGGAATTAGGAACAATACAATGTAATAAATATTGAATATGGCTTCTGAGGCAAAATGCACTATATGTCGCTATATGTCACTATATGTCACTATATGTCGCTATATGTCGCTATATGTCGCTATATGTCGCTGTATGTCGCTGTATGTCGCTGTATGTCGCTGTATGTCGCTATATGTCGCTGTATGTCGCTGTATGTTGCTGTATGTCGCTGTATGTCACTGTATGTCGCTGTATGTCACTATATGTCACTATATGTCACTATATGTCACTGTATGTCACTGTATGTCACTATATGTCACTATATGTCACTATATGTCACTATATGTCACTATATGTCACTATATGTCAATGCTAACACTTACAAAAAAAAGGGTCAGAAGAGACAACAGTGACATTAAAAGACAAAAATTTCCACCTTTCACAAAAATCTTTAAAACAAAATAAGCTTATATGTTTCCTCGTTTCATTCATAATATTGCAAGGAAGCATTCAAGAAAGCTTTCTTAATTTAAATTTACTGAACGGATAAAAGTATTAAAAGAAACAACAACTTTGTACATGTTACAACAGGAATACACTGTAGACAGTGGAGGATTTAACCTGCATGCATGGGTCAATTGACTACAAAAATAATAAAGAAATAAACGGTAGATTATGTCATTTTAGAGTTTATTTATAAGCCATGTTTGTACTTTACCTATCTATATTATCACATCCTAATGTGTTTTCAAAAACAAAGAAATTGTTTTGTATACCCATTATCATCCAATGGAAAAATTCAAACCATAGAAGCTCCATGTACGTTCAAAATAAAAAATGTCCAACTGTGTTTTTAATCTTATTTGGTAGTTCATCAGCTCAAGTACAAAATATAACCATCTTGGTTCCTACTTGTGTGCTTCTATTGAAAGAAATCATCCATGATGAATCATATTTTGAGAAATGGGGATATTTTGTATTTTGAAACAGATCTCAAGACAAGAATAATGATTCAAGCTACTGCGAATCACTGAATGGCTATTTTAATTTCACTTAATGTTAATTACCATAGCAGAGATTTATTCAGAATTTAAAGAACAGAAATTTTTACTGGACTGAAGCTGTTCTTTGAATTGTACAGATGGTCATATTAACCCTTTGATTACCAAAGACAACTTTTGCCACCGTTCGCAAAATGTTAAACTTTTCACAGTTTTTTCTTCTAAAATGTTAATCAATATCTGTAACTCATGGAAAATTAAGTCCATCTGGTACAAAATGATCAACAAATTTTCACAAATATGTAAAAATAGGTGAAATGTTGGACCAAAATTATGATACTCGAAAGGTTTAAAATTGGTAGTTACTGGTAGTAATTATAATATGTCATACATAAAACCTATATGATGAATATAGTTTGTGTCAAATGCATTGTTTACATATAATCTCTGTGTATAAATACCTGTTTATAGCTTGTATCTGACGTGCCATTGGTCAATCTCTGATCACGTGATGTGATAACTGGTCCATTTCCAGCTGATGCCTTCCTGGACGAAACTGACATCGGTGACGTTCTATGCGTAACTAGAGCATCCCGTACAGGAGCTGGTTGTGATCTAGAAACGCCATCAGGATATTCTTTATTTGTGGGAACACTACTTGGCCGATCCAAGGAACGACGACGCTCGGGAATGCTTCCATGGTCACTACCAGCATAATCATTAAGTCCTGGTTGCGAGCTAGGTCTTTCACGAGATCCTGGTCGCTCTTGTGACCCTCGGCGCTCTTGTGATCCTGGTCGTTCATATGACCCTGATCCTGAACGTTCATGAGATCCTGGCCTTCCATTGGATCCTGGACGCTCGCGTGATGCAGGACGCTCATATGATGGTGGTCGCTCATGTGATGGTGGTCGCTCATGTGATGGTGGTCGTTCATGTGATGCTGGTCTCTCATGTGATCCAGGTCGTTCTCGTGATCCAGGTCTTTCATAACTACCTCGTCGTTCATAGCTTCTTGGCCGCTCACCTGATGCAGGCCTGGCTGGACTCAGCCTGCTGTGACTACTTGATCTTTGTGAATCTGAGTCATTTAAACGTTCCTGACTAGCATGCTTACGTAGAGTATTCCTTTCAAACAACTGAGCAACTTCTTGGTCGCTTGCCGTATCACCACCGTTCCTTCCCTGCCAACTATCATGAGCACTGCCAGCAACACTCGCATCATCCAAACTCTTCACCGCCAAATCACCACTTCCCCGCCTTTCATAACCAACTCCAGTATCAGACATCTTGCCCGTCTCGTCTTCAGCTGCGATATTTAAATCTTTCACAAGGCTACTCTCTGTTTTTTCCAGCTGCTGTCGTAATAATTCTTGATAATGTCCGGTGGCTTTCCAAGCCTTTGTGTCACTTTCTTCGATAATTAATGCGTCACCAGATTCCAGAGGGCCTGCATGTGTGACGTCAGCTACATTACCATTTGGCACACTTTCCGTTATTGGAATTGGATGCTCGATCGGCACAGCGTCCGTTACTACGCTAGTATCCTCTCTCACTGCAGGATTCTCAGGTGCAGTTTCTGATGGTCAAGAAAAATAAATTAAATTTATAATGTAGCTATTTAGTCCCATGCTATGAGCTTTTAGATGAAAGAATTAAAATTAAATCTGCATATAAATAAATAAATATTGTACACATTTGACTTGTTTAGAGATATGCTAATGACCAAACATTCATATACAGTGATATATGAATAAATAAATAATTATCACCAAACACAGTAATAAATAAATATTAGTGTACAATAAACAAGTCCCAACAGAGCAGCTAGCATAATAGATAGCAAAGATTATATATCCCATACTCACTAATACTAACAACCTTCTATCATAAATCTATCTCTAAAATACAAAATGCTGGCACCAACCCAACAGTTCAAACAAAAAGTGTGGTTTCACCACAATGAGAGCAAACAAATGGTTCACATACTAAGTAACCAATTTAAACAAGTTTTGACTTTTTCACTGAAATCATAACTGTTCTTTTTTTCTTTATACAAGTTATACACTAGCCCCCACAAAACTTTTATACCTGTATTATTAATCAATATAGTTATAAATTTATACTAATATAATTTAATTTAAAGTTGACGCTTTTTTTTCTTCAAACTATAAATTAAGCAAAACAACAGAATCTTCCAAGTAGATTACATTGAATGTTCTCATGCTTTACAATTCTATACAATACTGAGAATTCCATAGATAACAACAATAGGCTATTGTTTGTAACAGAAACACAATAAACAATTAATAAAGTACCAGACTTAGATTCAAGCACGTCTCCACCGCCTTAATCAATGCCCTAGGGGACCAAGTTGTCTGATTTATTAACACTAATGTGATCATTTCCTAAATTTCAGCACAAAACTCACTATTGCAACTGACAACTAGTCATATAAGATACATATCTTTCTTTCATAACAGCATAAAATGAAACAACATGAAAAAAATAATTAAAAGTCAGCAAGTATAATTAAAGTTTGTCTTGGATACAAGATCAGAAATTTAAATCTAACGGACGGGGTGAAAATTAAGCCCTAAAAATGTGGGTTCAAAATGTTGTCCAGTAATCGGGGGCAACTGAAAGAAAAGAATGTCACCCCAGTATCAGGCAGTTATTCGACTTGAGTATACATGTACATGTTGTTGAGAGGTGCTGTTAGAATACATAGACAGCCTGTGTGTTCACGTCTGGAAATTACATGATAATGTCATCATTTAAAAGAAAAAATCAAAAACTCCAAAATAAAGCCCCCACTTACCCCTTAAAGTAAGTAAATTAGTCACACTGGCTGGACAGAACACACATATGACTGGTATTTTGGGTCCTTATACGCAAGAGCCATATTACAATGGCCGACTGAATCTTTACACTGAACTCATTTAAATATTAATGGCCGACTTTGCTTGTCATGACCAGCACAGGGTAGCATCATGGGTTGTTAGGGAAACTATTGTTATGCAAATGAACTTTTTATATTCAAATGAGATTTGTTCTGTGTCACTTGAGTATTCTTTTTAGAAGACTGTAGAGGGTCAGAGCATGAAATGTATTGCCTGAGTATAGTCCTTCCGTGACTAGTACAAATTTATATTTGTTCAATTTAACCTTTTCTTGGTGGCCATAGGACAATGATGCTACATCCATTGTAAGCACTGTCCCAATTTCAGGTGGGTCATACCATTTTATAATATAAAGGGGTGATAGCCTTAACAAATACAAAAAATCACAGTGCTTTTACGGCACTAGAAAATATTAAAGGTCAAACCAAACCAAGCTAATCTGAGATCAAAGTTCCATCAAGAATGGTGTGGCAAATACAAACAGTAGCCTTCATTTAAATTTGTTTTTTAAAGATGGACTATCAAATGTTTTCTCAAAAATACAATGGATAAAATGATAGGATTTAATATAACAAATTATAATTGTAATTAATACTATAGTCTGTGATTGTATTATCCCTTTTGTCTGTATGAACCCTTTAAAATTGAGGGAGGGAGGACAGTAAATTGAACAGCAGAGATACACAAATGCTAAGTATGATAAAACACGTATTCTATAAAACAATCAGTTGGTTTGAGTTCAAAGGTCAATTTACTGGTACACGTGTTGTTACGGGAACACTGGAACTCTATGCTAGCTATTTTAATGTACATACCTCCTTTATTTGCATACTCAGGTTGGAATTTAAAGCGTAAAATTATGAAATTAGAAACAACGGTTAAATTATAAATAATCATTTTAACGACATAGGTGAATTTGGTGTTTTAACATTGGCACTTTGATTGCAGTGTAGGACTGAATGTTTTAAATACTCGTCGGGAAAGCCCGACATGGAGTTGTTATTAGCAGACGATCTAAGCATGCTGCAACACATCAATACACACACCTGTTGATGCCAAAGAAGAAACTACAAATTAGAGACCAATGATCCATGATAGGCTACACCAATAAAACTTTGCATACACTTAAAAATCACATCAGTGACTGAAAAAATCTCCTCCTCTCAAAAAAAATTACAAAATAAACTTTGCATTTATGAGAATACGTGTAGTAACTTGAAATATACATGCACAGAATGGGATTCTGTCAAGACAGGGCAACGTACATTTTAAGTTTCCATACCTCGTATTTCATCTTCGGGTTTCCGTATCGGTGTAAACATGATCCTGCATTGGCGAACTCCCTGGGCTTTCTAAGGTAGCTGGTTTAAATTGCCGAATGCCTTTGCAAACTGGTCGGGTGCACTCACATGAAACATACATGTAACAAGCTTCTAAAGCCAATAATTGATGACCCCCAACTGTTTGTTTAGGATCATGTGACTAAAGGCTTATAACATGAGCTTCTAGCTGGTGTCGTCGCCGTGGTTTTAATCATGTTTTACGACAGGGACATGGCTAACTGCCAATTGAGATATTTTGGGTCTGGATCGTAAAACGACACCTTGACAAAAGGCAGCATGGTTTGAATTGAGAAAGGAAACTTGAGAATGAGGAGCATTTTATAAGAAACGGTGATTAAAAGAAATGTGTAGTAATAAATTTGTTTTGACAGATATTGAGTAGAAAAGATGAATCAGACAATTTCAATATAATGTGAGAAACTACTGTGGAAATAAATCTTTTTACTGCCAATTTGAAAACTTTTCATACAAAAAGAAAAAAATTAATTATCTTTTTTATGTTTTTTTGTCTATAAACAAACAAAAAATTTTAAAAATCAAATAAAAACAATTTCCACTTTCAAATGCAATTTAAAGCTAAGAAATACTATTTTCTAAACTTTTTTTCAAATGTCTTCAAGTTTCTCTTCTGATATTTGTCATCAGAAGCCCATTCCTTTAGAGCCCCTCCCACAGATATACATTGTACAGTTGCAAAGCCTCAGATAGACACACTGCTGCAACCTCCCTCTACATGGATGCATAGCTGCAAAGCTCCCCCACAGACACTGTAGCAATATCCCCCTACATGGACACACTGTAGCAACCGCCCTCTCTACATTGACATACTGTTGCAACTTCCCCCTACTAGGACACACTGTTGGAATCTCCTCCTACATTGACATACTGTTGCAACCTCCCTCTACATGGATGCATAGTTGCAAAGCTCTGGCACAGACACACTATAGGAACCCCCTACATGGACACACTGTTGGAATCTCCTCCTACATTGACATACTGTTGCAACCTCCCTCTACATGGATGCATAGTTGCAAAGCTCTGGCACAGACACACTATAGGAACCCCCTACATGGACACACTGTTGCAACCTCCCTCTACATGGATACATTGTTGCACCCCCCCCCCCCACACACACACTGTTGCAACCTCTCCCCACATCAACACACTGTAGCAACTAATGAATGACATCTAATAAGAGTTAACAATAGAACATTCATGAAAGAAACACATACACACACACACACTCACAATTG